TGGCTTTCGTTCTCACTGCTCCCCTGAAATTGTCCATGTCCATAGCACCAATAACTACTCTGCTTAACCCAAGGGACATTTTCAGCCTTTAATAATACTTGATATGTCTTTATCTTCTGATATGAATCATATATAAATATACATGATTAAAATTGGACACGATTAACAAAGCAGAAAAAGAGCACTGAGATATTAATGATTACATTGAGCCTACCTGCAGACTTCTTGTCATATGATTTAATAAAATAAATAACTGCTTAAACTACTGATAGGATATCTTTTAATTACAGCTGAATGCTTCCTAACTGACTCCCTCTATAACCTATGAGGAAGCTAGCTGCTCTTCAATAGTAAAATTGTATGTTCCCTCTCTCTAACTTGCTACCTCCTATTCAGTTTTCAGGGCAGCCTTGTTTTTGTCCTCATGGTCCCCTGAAATTATTCATGCCAATGGCACACATGACCATTTTGCCTAATCCACAGGTCATTCTTCACCCTTTAATCCTGACTTCTCTTTGTCTTCTGACAGTTTGCCGTCCTTTCATTCTCAAAATGGTCCCTCCCTCTGGCATTCAAGATACCATTGTTTAACTAAATTTTCCTGTTTTTCTATTCATTGAGCACTTGCCCTTGACCTCTCTCTTTGTAAGCTCCATGAAGGCAGGGACCCTCTCTGAATTGTTCACTACTGCTTCCCCAGCACCTGGCTCAGAGTCAGTCCTCCGTAGGCTATGTAGACTTGAGGAATCCTTCCCTGAGGAGTGCAGTTACTGGCAGCAATTTAAACACAAGAGAGGATTTGTAGATATGATGGGGACTCTGCTCAGTAGGTGGCAGAGTTGGGAAGAGCAGGTGCCGTGGCTCTCAGTCCAGTAGCCTTTGAATCATTCCCCCCATGCCACATGGCCTAACACCCCAAGTCTGTGCCTAGAGAAAGTGCTGTTAAGTAGCATGTCACCCTTTTGTCATTCATAATGCTGCTTTCAGTAAACTGAACTATTTGAAAGATTCATTAATGGAGGCGCCAGGGATTTAGCTCAGTGGTTCCACCGCCTGCCTTGCAAGCACAAGGTCCTGAGTTCAATCCCTGGTACCAACAAAAAAAAAGAAAGAAAGAAAGAAAGAAAGAAAGATTCATTAATGGAAAGGAGGTAGAGATGAGATTATAATTTATATGTTTTATTCATCCAAAGTGTATAATTGACTTGATTTTTGGTGTTCTGACTTTGAAGACTTTGGCTAAAAAATGGATTTCTGTATCTAAATCTTTCTCCCTTCCCTAGTTGTTGAATTTTTTAATACTCTCAATCTTTTCTTTTGTTCAATTGAAATATACACAAAATCATCTTAGTAAAATTCCAGAATCTAATCTGTCTGCTATTTAATGTCCCATACAGGCATACTTCAAAATGGTTTTTTCCTAGTACTTTTCCATATCAGTAGAAAAGGAAAAGGACCCAGATTCATTAGGACGTGAACATGAGCAACTAAACAACATCCATAAATGCTTGGATAACGTTCTGAGTGGGACCTGCTTTTCCAGTTCTAAAAGGCTTTCTTCACTCCAGGCTTTCTTCATTCATTCATCATCACAGTCTTGAGGATGCTCCCTGAGTTGCAAATGTGGCTTCTGCACCTCACTAGAGTACTTTCAAGATTTATGGTGGTTTTCTATTTGTGGTTGATATTAATCTAGGCCCATTCCTTGAAGGCCTCTCTCCTTGAATGGTCCACTTTCCAGAAGCTACTGGTTTCAGTTAGGATCTTCGAGTCAAAGTTCTCACCACAGAACTGGCTGCCATGCCATCAGGAACTGAGAGTTTGAAGGATTGGTCTTTCCTTCGCATTAGGGTTCTCTAGAAGAACCAATTCAATAGAAAATATACATATGATTACACAGGGATGTATTGAGTAGGCTTAATCAGTCAGAATCAGAAGAATTCCAATGCTGCATTACAGATCAGAGGTGGAAGAATCCAAAATGGCTGTTTGTGTGCTGGAGAGCCAGAGGATCCAATAGCAATTGAAGATTGAAGGCCTGGAAGCTCCCTGCACAGTCATTGGTGAGTCTGTGTCAGAGGAATAGTCTGTGCTGCAAGGATGAAGAGCCTGTCCTGGAAACCTGAAGGAACCAGAGACCAACATCCAAAGGCAATACTGAAGAACCAGAGCTCCTCTGAAGAAAGGGAACACTTCTTTCTTCTTTCTTTTCTTATTCTGTCCAAGCTACAATCCTATTGGTTGGTGCCACCCACATCAGGGGTGGGTCTTCTCCCCTGTGTTTGCTGGCCTATATATCAATCACCCACAAACACACCCAGAATTTACTAATCTGCCAGGTGGTTCTTATTCAAATCAAGCTGACATAGGACAATTAATAATCATATCTTCTATCTCTCTCTCTCTAGGGCCTCTCTCCTTTTTGGGAGCTCTCACCACCCATAGGCTTGGCTTCTTCTTCTTTAGCTTCAGCTTTAGCCTCAGTTTTTAGTAATAGTTTTGTTCTATGGAGGGTCACTATCTTAGTTACTCTTCTCTTTGCTGAGACAAAATACTCAACACCCAAAGTTAAAGGAGGAAAAGTATATTTTGACTCAGTTTGTACAGGTTTCAGTCCATAGTCAGCTGGCTGCAAGGTAAAGTAGCATGGCAAAAAGGCATCACAGAGGAGAAACAGTCCAAGATAGGGTAAGCAGAAGGCAACAAAGCAGCAACAGCAGCAACAGCAACCAAGCCTACCTTTATATTTTATCCAGGCTACCCAGCCTTTGAGCAGTGCCATCCACACCAAGTGGGGCACCCTTAATGCCAGCATCTCACACTTAATCCCAACATCACACACACTAGATCCAGCCACCTTCCAAAAGCCCCACCTATGACTACATGAGGTTTTGGGGAGACATCTAGCCATAAAATTCTGCCCCTAGACCCCCGAAGACTCATGCATATTCCTTTATGCAAAAGGCATTTAGTCCATCTCTAAGAGTCAAAGTCCTAATAGTTTCAGCAATGGGGAAAAGTCCGAGTCTAAAGTCTCTTCTGAGACTTAAGACAAACTCTTAGTTGTAAGCTCCTGTACAAATGAAAAAAAAAAGTTAAACACTCCAACATAAACTGGCACAAGATAGACATTTCCATTCCAAAAAGTACAAAGAAGGGGACAGAAAGGAATGAACATAAAGCAAGACCAAAATTCAGCAGGACAAACATTAAATCTCATAGTTCTATGTCCAGTGTCTAGTGTAATCTGTGGCACATTGTGAACTCCAGAGGGCTTGGGTGGCTCTGCCCCACTTCTGGTGGTTATAGCTCTCATGGCTTCTCTCTTTGGCCAGCTTTTCTCACTCCTTGCAGCTTTCCTCAGATGATCCATGCTCTTGACTTCTCCAGCCTTCTGGCATCTGCACTGCAACTTCAGCTTCAGATTCACAACTTCACATACTTCCCCCTTAGGGACACACTGCCTGGCCTCCCAGGCCTTCTTCTGAAATCCAAATGGAAGCCTTCCTGACCCCACAACTCTTGCATTCTCCATGCACCTAAAATCAGCACCACATGGTTAATGCCATAGTCTGCTGCCAACTGGAGCAATACCCAGGCTTCCTTCTCTCTTGGCTGTTGTAGTTTAGTGCCTATGAACCAAATCCTGAGAAACAACTTCCCTAGGCTACCATCATTCTGGTATATGGTGTTCTGGGGCTTTCTTCTCAAAACAAAGTCTTTCACCTTTGCAGTTTTGAGGCTGCAAAGGGCACCATTCTGCTGGTTCTTGTGATGTACTCAGGTCTTGTTTTCTATTGTTCTGTTCCTTCTCAGCAACCAAGTTCTCCTCTTCTCCATCTTTGCAGTCCACAACTTTACTGTAGCTTCCTTTCTAGACAAACTCACAACATTTGGAGTCATCCTTCTAGCCTCTTTGCTCTTTATTCTCAACATAAATCTGGCTAAAAGTTCCCAACAGTTGCCATGCCACTGCCTCAACATTAGACTACCTTGAAATTTCTACCACAAGATTAATAAGTGTGTCAAAAAAAAAAGATTAATAAGTGTGTCACCTTTAGTTTCAGTCTCAGCCAAAGTCTCTGGGCATGAGCAGAATGCAGATAAATTTTCTGCCAAAACATAACATACATGATTTGGAGACCAGCAGCTAACATAGTTCTTCTTCCTAGCAGAAACCTGCTGAGCATAGTCTTTACTGGCAGCATTTCTATCAGCATTCTGGTCTTCTGAGCTCTGGACATAATTTCTCATCAAGTACATCTTAAAGCATTCCAAGGCTGCTTCTTCAGCCAGCATCTCTAAACCTTTATAGATTCTTCCCATAAGCCATTTTCAAAGGCTCCTGAACCATACAGTCAGGTACAGTCACAGCTACAATCCCACACCTGGTACCAAAATCTGTCTTAGTTACTTTTCTTATTGCTGAGACAAAATACTCAACAGCAAAAGTTAAAAGGGGAATAGTTTATTTTGGCTCACAGTTTGTAGAGGTTTCAGTCCATAGTTCACTGGCTCCAAGGTAGAGTGGCATCACAGAGGAGAAACAGTTCATGGCAGGCAGAAGGCAGCAAAGCAATAAAACAGCAGCAGCAGCAGCCAAGCCTGCTTTTATATTTTATCCAGTCTATCCACACTTTGAGGAATTCCAACCACACCTAAGGTGGGGAACCCTTAATCCCAGCATCACACATTCAATCCCAGCATCGCATCCTAGTTCCAGCTACGTCCAAAAAGCCCCACCTATGACCACTTGAAGCTTTGGAGGGATAACTATATATAAGCCATAACAGTCACAGTCACAGTTCACATTCCCATGGAAAAAATCTGGTTAAGTTGGCTTATCTTTCCATGGTAAAGTTGTATTACACGTAATTGCCCAGAGATGGATTGGCTGCCAAACTCAGAACCACGGGACCAGGTGGAGTGAGGGTGCTGGGGTGACCCACAAAACCTAACCGCACCCAATATACAACAAAAGAGGGAGCCAGGACAACTCCTTAAGAATGTCAGGAAGTAGACTTATATTGTAGGTAGAATTTCTTTATAAGTTTAACATTCATCTGAGTATCCCACCCTTTTTACTTACTGATTTTTAGTGGTAATTTAATGGCATGACATGAATCTAATGTTGTACTTTCATTATTGCTTCCTGCTGTTACAGTATCTAAAACACTGGAAGAATCTAAACCTATTTCACAGAGGTAGAACCTAGAGATGGTAAGGGACTCTCCTAATGTTGCAGTGCTAATGAAAGGCAGAGATTAAAAGGGAGACCTCCCAATTCCCAACCAGGGACTTTGATCAGCACTTAACACCAGAACTGGGCTAGGGAGCATAGGTAGAATTTCTGATACTAGGAAATGTTTGCAACTGAGGGCATTTTCTCCTTCTCTTATGTAAGAAGACAAACCAAAAGGAAATAAATGGCAGGTTGAAGTGTTCTATAGAATTATTGTTATAAAACATTTAAAATGTAAAGTTGGCATCATTTTAAAACAAGTTATACAAAAAAAAATTTCCTATTTATTCATTTAACTGAACTCTAATAATTCAAAGAAATATATCAAAGAATTACTTCTGAGTGTTCTTTTTACTTTGTTGTACACAGCGCTAAGGCAGTCCTGTCAGCTTTTGTGCTCGTGTTTGACCTGCATTGCTAAATGCTTTGTGAGAAGGTATTCAGATGGCACCGTGTGATGTCAGCTTGCATTAACTCCTTCCCAAGGAGAGGTGCTCAGTATTCAGGCTGTGTTTGTCCTGGCACAATCTATTTAGATTTCAGATTCATTTCTGAAGGTTTACAAGTACTGTTTCTTCTGGAAGACTCTGGGTTTTTTTACAATTTTGTTTCTAAAGCAACCTTTGAAAGGACAATCATAATGTCCTATACAGCTGCTTTTTGGGAAATCATTAAGAAAATAAGAAGCATTTCAGAGAACTAAATAAAAATTTTAGTGAAAATTGATATTAAGCTTTATTATTTTCATCATAGATATATTATAAAAAGTTAAAATTATTACTTATTCACTAGGGAAAGATTTCTCAATGAAACAAATTCATTAGTAACATTATGTTTGTTTTTATGTAACAGAAAAGTCATTAATTTGTTTTCAGTTTTCAAATATAGGCTAGGTTCCTAAAATTATATGAAGTTTTTTAATTCGGTTATAATAATGACTGCATATTAGCAAACACCTACCATTTTGCTGATTGGGTCTCATAAACAACAAAATGAGATGAAAAAATATTTACTTCAAGTTTCATTTGAAAGAATGATGTAAATCACTCATTCATTACCCTGTCTTGCTTAGGAAACAATTAGGAGAAAAGTTTTATTAAGAGTCTAAATCTAGATTCTTGATGATTTCAAATGAATTCTTGGGATCCTCTATTCCCCCTGGAACCAATTATAATAATTTCAAGAATAGTCATATAACAACTAGAATTCAGCTGACTGATAAGGTCTTTTTCAAGTTTTGTCCTTTCCGCCTTTTTTCTCAAGCCGGTTTCTAGTTGGTTCTGTCAATACCAAGGGTTCTTGTATGACGGTTGCTGGGTAATTTTTACCTAATAGTTCAACTTCCACTTGTTGTCCCACTTCACTTAGCTCTATAGGGACATAAGCAAAAGCCAGACTCTTCTGGATGCTGTAGCTGTAGCTGCCAGATGTTGTGTTGCCAACCACCTGGAAAACAAAATCCAGCAGTCATCAGCATCTCAATCACAGCTGTGTGCTTCTCAGTTCCAGATGAAATGGCCTAAAATAGAGTCAGTTTACAGCATGATAGTCTTATGGAATGCTGAGGATGACACCAGCAATGGAGGAGGAAACTCCCATTAAAATTTTTTAATGAAAATTTCCAACTTATGAAAAATAATCTTTAAGGACACATTTGCATTACTGTGAAAATTCTCTTTTTAAAATAATAACACTTAGTTTCTTAATACCTGACATTATTTTGCTCAGTTTTACACTATAAGGGATTTGATGGGAAGAATAGAAGACTTTATTTTAAGCTTTAAAAATTTTATTATTAAATCAATATGGGAATGAGAGGGGAAATTTCTTTTTAAAAAAATCTTCCAAACTTGGTTAACTCTCTTTGTTGCAATATGGAAAACAGCCTGCCAATGAGCACTGAATTAAACTATGAATGGACTAGTATCCAATGTGAATCAATACTGTACATGAGAGGACATATATGGTGTGTGTTATTCATATACATATGCAGTATTTAACCATTTTTGCCAATTATAAGGCTCTTCAGCAAATGATAACTTTAACAGTTTAGCTTTACCATACACAAAACATTTTGCTGGACACTGGAAAGATGAGTAGTGTTGCTATACCTGCCATCAAAAGCTTGGGAAATTAAGAGTGCTACAAGAAAATAGAGCCAGGAAGCCATGGCAGCAACATGACAGCTAACACTGAGCCAGGGTTTGTTTGGTTCTTTGAAGTGAGGTGGGCAGAGATGCAGAATGAAACCTTCCAAGGTGAGGAAAGATATGGAGTTGAAAATGAGGAAAGAGGCAAAAAAATCAACACTCAAGAGGATTAATTAAGGTAAGCGGAGATGACAAAGTAGAGAGCCATGCTAAATAAAAAATCAAAACCCAGGAGATATAAATAAAGATCTTATCCTATGAAAGGAAGAAGAATCCATATAACAAGCCTGATTAGAAGATAAGGCCCAGGATTTAGCTCAGTGCTTCCGTTGCCTGCCTCGCAAGTGCAAGATCCCAAGTTCGATCTCCGGTACCAAAAAAAAAAAAAAAGTGCCAATTAGAAGATAAGAGATAAGAGGGTTAATGAGAACAGATCTAAAGGAAATAATGTAAGAGAAGCTGAAGCACAGAATACAAAGAAACTGTCAAATCAAAACTCAAAACACTGCATTACGGAGTGAAAGGAAGACAGTTTGAGTTGTTTGGAGCAGCTTCTCCCGGTCACACAGCACCACTGCTCCTCAGGCTGCACTGGCTTGCTGTGTAGACTCCCAGAGCTGGAGGTCCACACATTCTTGCATGGGCAGCAGCCAGCCCAAGGCAGTCAGCTACCTCAGCAGATCCCTCTCCAGACGCCAGCCTTTTAGATCTCCACAGGGTGGACTGCAAGTGTAGACCTTATCTTTGTAGTTCCAGTTTTTAAATATCTCTTTGAATCCCCAAATCAAAGGCTCTCTGTATGATTTCTGAACTTATTATGGTAAGAACTGGTTGATTAAAGAAACTTGAATGCATGCATCTGGCATATTATTACAGCCAAAGTACAGCACATACTTTAAATTTCTTTATTCTTTTTGATCATAGGTGATAGAAGGCAGAGATTTGAGTCTGAGAAATGGGAGTTTTAATCATTGCTCCCCCCCACCCCCAACCCAATGTGGATTGAACCAGGACCTTCATACTGAGCTACATCTCCAGTCCTTTTTTTTTTTTTTTTT